GTTTTTCTCCCGCCTGGCACTTCACCACCTTCCCTGGCCCAGCAGCTAACTTTTGGAGACAGAAGGTGGAAAATGGTAGGAGTGAAGGTAGCAACGCCATGCGGTGAAGAGAGAGGCATGCTGGGCGTTAGCAGGAAGTATGTAAGGCAGAAATGAAAATCCCCAAGCCTCACCCCACTGCATCTCCTCAGACAATGCATATGCTAGAGATTAGCAATTGGCTCTCTGATACCCTAGGACCAAACCAGTGGGAAAAGTACTGGCAGCTTTGGTGTGTTTCGTAGAGAGGTGGCTGGTGCCCCAGATAAATGGCCATTCTGGTCCCCTCCTCTCTTGCTATACTGTAGACTTGTCAGCATTTTAACAAGCAGAGCAAAACTTCCCAAGTTACCAGAAATCAGAAGAACAAGGGCTGCCTTCTGATTTCTCCTTTCCATGCTCCCTTTTGTAATTTACAGTAAAGCGCCTAGAGAGAACAGCATTACCTCTCTATTTTCTTTCCTCCCCTAAAACTGACTGCTTCCCCCCTCATCCCAGCTGCTGCCCCACTACTTGCTTCCACTACCTCTGCTCTCTGGGCTACCTCCGCTTGTCATTCACTGCCTGCTGTTATTTCTTCCAACTCCACCCCGGCCTCGCCCTGGGGAAGAATAACTCTACTCACTCTATAGCCTGTCCCGGAAATATGAACAACTGGGTTTCATCAAAGCTGGATAGTCTGCATGATCTGCAGGCAAACAACATTCTGGAGGAGGCTTTTTAAAGGTATAAATGATGGGTAGGTGTATAGTTCCCAATCAAGAATATGACCAGAAGTTAGGTATCATGAATTTCTCCTACTCCAGCCCTTGTTCATGCTGAAGCTGAGTGCATGCACATTAAAAAAGAAACTAGTTAAAGGATGCCTTCAGAGTTGCAAAGGTGGTCTTGGCAATCCTGGATAATGGTTGGGCTTGATCTTAAAGGTCTTTTCCAACCTTGTTGGTTCTATGATTCTGTGGCAGGCAGGGCTGCTATTTTCTGGCAGATAACCTACAACATCTCTGTAATTGCCCCCCCCCCCCCCCCCCATCACCTATATTCTGCAGTAGTGGGAATTAAATATGTGCATGAACAGTGTAAGGAAACATTGACATTCTGTATAGTTTTTTGCTGCTGGAGCTCTGCACTTGTTCCTCCAAATTCGGTTTCCTTCCTAGTAGAAGCCTTTCAAGGAACTTGACCACTGATTTCATGTGGATTACCTGTGAGTGGAGTAATCGAATGTGCACAGCATCCATACACACATGCACTCATACACACATGTGCATTGCACTTCCAACTCAGCAAATGCCAGAGCTCCAGTTACCCTTCGTATCTTCAGTTGGTCCCTTTGTGAATGTTTTTTTTGCTGTAGCCTTTGATTGCATATGCTTCTGCTATTTTCCCTTTCTGTCATCCCTGCCTTATTTCGTGCACAGAATGGGCTGTGCTCAATTACTGAACAGCAACTTAATATTTACTTTTCTCCTTACTGCACAGTGTGCAGCCCCTAGCCTTTTTTACTGCACAATATTCAAGCCCCGCTTTGATGACAAAATGGTTGATTTCCTCATAGGCTTTTCTCTGTCCTCATCATTGTACATGTATCTGTGGCTACACAAGTGATTTATAGTGGAACTTGTTCTGGTACTTGTCCTCAGCCTCCTGATGGTGCCCACTTACTGCTTTCATTCTTGGGATGGTTTTACAGTGGGAAAAAAATGCCATGGAAATATGTGTAATTTGCTGTGAAGGGAAGTAGCTATTTTGTTTGTTTGCAGCTAATGCATGTTCTGTTTTGTTATAAAAGCTATGGGTAAGCAGCAAAGATGAAGGTTGTTTTATTCAGCATGCTTCAGTTCTGAAAAGAGGGGGAAACCGCTTCTTCTCAGAAGTCTATGGGAAGGGCAGAATAGCTTTCACAGAGGGCAGTGTCTGGCATCCCATTCTCTCTGACACCCACCCCCCTGACATGGAGTTTCCCTCATGGTAAAATCCTGAGCATGGCATTGGGCCACGAAATCCCCATGTTCTCCCTGTAGAGGGTCTCCTGGGAGCCAGAGGGATTGGTGCAGGGCTTGGGGTTAAGCTGACCACGCTGAAAACTGTTGGACTGAGAGAAGGATTGGAAGCTCTCTAGCATGTGAACACAACAGCAGCCAGGAAGTTGAAGGGAGTAAGGAGTGGTGGTGAGTCAGGTTTTTTCTGTTCTAAGACCTGTGATCTCTTGTGTTTGAGCAGCCTGGATTCACATCTGTGTAGATCTTCACTAGTTTAGCATGCTTGAATTGCTCACATTAAGGAAAAGGTGTGAGATCACCTCAAAACCCTGGCCACCTTGAGATCCAGTTGCACCCTAAATGCAACCAGTTTAGCAGCAGCTGTACTTCTTTGGCCACATCTGCCTGTGTTGTACACTGTTAAATCCTAATGACAGTCCTGGATCTGGAGCTCTGTAGAAAGCTTCTGGCTCTTTCTGATTGCTGTATTAACTCCCAACTGGTTTGAGAAGGTAGGCTTTCCGTGGTGCTGGCATTTTCCTGAGGACAGAGGGAATACACCTGGTTCCTGCAGGGCTGCAACAGCAGCCACTACCTATAAGGAACACCTGAGACATTGTATGGTGTTGGACTCATGTGACTAATGAGAATGGTTTTTGCTGGGCTGAGGATGACAAGGAATAATCTCTCTTTCCCTGTAGTTAGCAAGTCAGCAAGGTGTTTGAAGGTATTGATTGTTGGATGGGACTTTGGCTAGATCGGTATTTAGCATAAGCCTCCAGCAGGCTGAGAACGTCTCTGAGACAGCAATGGAGTGTTATAAATGTGGGGTTTACGTGTGAGGATGGATAAAACTAGTGAGGAGGCTGCCAAGTGCTAATTGAAGGAAAAGAAATGTTTTTCCATCTGTAATGTTTTATTGAGGATCTCCTTTACATAATCTTAGCAGAACTTTATTTTGTGTTTTAAAGGCTAGAAGGAGTATCCAAACCAAGAGATTGAAAAGGTACACAACCTGATCAGTTTTCCAGAGTAGGTGACTAGAAAAGAGGTGCTCTCAGCTGCCTGAAATGTGGAGGACATGCTTTAACAGCCATCATTTAAACCATGGGGAAACACATCTATATGAATGATGTCTCCCTTCAAACACTGGGGGAAAAATAAATCCTTACTCACCAGTCACTGTGGTGTGAAACCCATGGCAGGGACCATGATTCGGTCTCTTCTGAATTGCCAGCTCTCTAAACAAACTGTATGTTACTGAAATGGAAGAATCTGTTTTCCACTGGGACTTAAAGTAATTTGTATTGAGCGCTGGGAGTTTCCAAGCTACCATATTTTTAAACTGTCTTTGTTAAACCAGGAAAGGGATCCTAGAGCATAGAGATTTTGAGTCAGTGGTCTGGATCTGCCCATCATGGTCTGGATCTGCCCATCGTGGTCTGGAACTGCAACTGGTTTGAATTTTTGTACAGCAACGCTTATCAAGGTAGGGACAGAGATGCCAGTAGCTTCTGCTTTAACACTCACCATATAAGCAGAGAGCAGCTGAGTTGTGTGTCCCTTCCCCCATCACTGCTGGCTGACTCCAGCCTTGAGTACCAAAAAACTGTAGCGACAGGTTTCTGGTCTTACAGGGAGAAAGGAGAGGAGATGGACTTGCAAGAGGCTTTCAAAGTCATGTCATGCTAGAAAACAGTGTTTGCTTTTGTTTCTTCAACAGCACATACCAACTCCAAGAGGCAGAAAGTATGGGGAGCAATAGGACAGGTTCTCCTAGAGTGACTGTGGGATGTCTGTGGGGAGCCAGGCTAAGTTGGAGCTGAGGAATGCATTATGGGCAGTAAGTTTAGAAAGAGATTTAAGTATTTTTTAATTTTTTTTTAAATAAAATGAGTCCAATTTCTGTGATAAGAACCATCTTTAATGTAAAGCTGAAAAGACAGTATAAAGATGAAACAATTGGAAATAAAAGAAGTCTGGCCAAAATTTTCATTTACATGGGCTATCTAAACCTCTCCCTCAAGCTGTTACTGATCTGTTTTTACTTTCTTTGCAAAAGTAACGACTCCATGCTGAAATGGCCAGTTTTCTCAGCATTTACCAAAACCAGCATGGCTGGACTCAATGGCCAACATCACAGAAGTTCCTTGTCTAAAAATTTAGTTTTGTAAGCATCAGTGTTGTGAACAGAAAGGGGACACCTAACCCCAGGCCCTAGATAAGTTTGGATCGTTATCCACGCTTGATATCTCATTATTGTGATCCAGGTTTCTCTCTGCTTGATGCCTTTCCAAGATTCCCCTGTATTTGTTTTATCCTTGACAGGCTAGTGAACATCTAAGAGCACTTGTATCAGAAGGTTTGGAAAGGGAACAGCTGAATATAATCTTCAGATAAATGCAGCATACCATGACCATAGATAAATGTTCTCTCCCATGAACAGAAGCATGAGACCTGTAGCTCTGAAAAGCTTTTGATTTAGATTTCTCCCTAGAGAATGGTGAAGATCATGTTATCACATTCGTGATCTTGGGCTGTGGTGAGCTGGGCTGTGGAAACTCTCAGGTGTATACCTTCAGCTTGTCTACCCAGAGGATTTTGTGGTGCCAGGGTCAGGAATGCCCTTTTGGATGGTAAGCTGCTAAGGCACAGTGGTTTGAGCTTTCCCCAGATTAGCCAAAAGAGTGAAAAGGAACTGCATATTCCACCCTGAAGCAACAGAAGTATACAAACAAATGTATCCATCTCTGCTGGGCCACATTCACATGCACGTGTTGGTTCCTCGGTGCCAGCTCCTGCTATGAACTCTAGCTCTGCATGCTGTTAGAAATGGCAGAAAGAGATAGATTTCTGTATCTCTACACAAGCACACACTGGGTTGGTTTTTTTTTTGACCTACAGCATATGGTGATGTTTGCTTAATCCATGAAAAAACTCATATACTCATACATGATGTGACTTGTATTTTCTCCACAGAAAGCAAACTGGGCTGCATTTGTTACTGGACCCTAAAATCCATTTCTGCTGCATAGCTAGGCAGGTATGTTTTGTATTTCTGGTTTGGGTTTTTTGCCCCTTTTTTTTTTCAGTTTAAAAAAAAAAAGGCCAAATAATAAAAAAAACCAAACCAAACAAACCAACCCCACAAACCACCAGAAAGCACATAATGATTCAAAACACATGCTTTGTGTCACCTGTTTCACTGTTACTATTTTATCTCTATAAACAGGGCAGAGGCAAATCCCATCCAAACAAGGAACGGAAGATGCACTGCAAAATTGTGGCTGGGTCACATGAAACAAGAATACATACACATACACATTTCTGAACAGGGAAGACCCAGCTCAGAAATGTAATGCCTGCATTTTAGTGGTTATGCATTGTGAGTTGCTGAGTGCATGTACAGTAAGCCATGCGCACTCTGGCTGCATCTGACTTGTACATGTGCAGTCACTATTTGTCCAGGACTTTGGGTGCTCAGGCTTCCAGATGTTCAGAAACCCCATGCATATGTGCTGTATCAAGCTCCTCCATTGGAGGGTGCTAAACTTCTCGGCATTCCTCTCAAATTCAGCCCCGTAAAAATTGGAAGTTTGGGTCACTTTTTGTAAGGGGGAAGTCAAGTCCAAGCTCCTGAAGTCAGATGGAAGTGCTCTGTTGAATTAAAAAAGGATTTGGGCTGGACCCGTAACAGGTCTCATCTTCCATGCAGATACGGCAGTTTCATTTGCCTTTTCCTCTTGCGGGTTCATGACTGATCAGCTGCTGAAAGAGTTCCTGAAAGTTGCTTTAATTTTCAGCACACCTTACATACTCCTTATAGTCAGTGCCAAAGCCCTACTCCCTTTATATGGAGTTGTTCCCTCACACTCCACTTACTGTGGTTCAACATTGCTGAGAGAGCCTGTCCCTGGTCCTTTGTAGCTTCTTGATTTGTTTTAGTAATTCAATGAAGTATATTATTTTGTATATCTTCTGACACACTAGAATTAGACCCATCCCTATTTTACTGGGTTGATAATAAATGTCACCATTAGTCATCTACCACTCAAGTTCTGATATGCACTGCAAAGCTAAAGATAGTGCAGCAAACAAATATCCTAGGCTGCGATGTCTGCAGTGTAGAACACAGCAGGCCACTTCAATCTTTCAGAAGACCCATTCCTGGGAATTATTTGTCAGCCCCTTTTTTAAAACCCATATGAAGGACATGCCACAGCATTACGGTGAATATGCTGTCCCAGTACCTCGTCTGCAGTTAGAAGATTTTCCTGATGTCCAGCATAGTTGTCTTTGGTAAACATTTTGTTCCCACCTCAGTGGCCACAAAGGCAATCAGTTACAGCCTTTTATGTACCAGGTAGAAGGGGACCCTGTCAAGAGATGCTTCTATGGTTATGAGGAACTAGGATTTTGGGGGCCTTTCTCTGCCACGTATTCCCCATCTGACCTCAGACAAGTCTGTTATCTCTGTATTTGCTACCTCCAAGGGATGCTGTGAGGGTAAGTTCACTGGTGTTTCCAGGGTTGTTCAGATACTGTACTGACAGGGGCTATGTAGGTGAATAGAGAGAGAGAGCAGACATATGTTTATTAATCTGGTAAAGGACTGATATTTAACTCAGCGGTGCTCCCAAACAAATGTCAAAGACTATATTATCAGCATGTCTCTTATCTCTGGAATTTTGTTTTCTGCTGTGCTACTTTACTTGTTGGTTTGTGGTTTGTTTTGCAGCTTCCTGGAAAAGAGAACTTTAAAAACATGATCAGAAAACGCCTGGTGAAAGTTGTAACCGGCTCTGACTGTCCATGCTGTGACAGCCAACAAATATCACCTGCTGATGATTTACAGATTCCTGGGAGATGTGGTGTTGAGTCTCAAAAAACTGGAACAAGAACAACTCACCCAATATGCTTCTCAGGAAACAGTGTAATGTATCCACCCGCTTCATGCTCTCTTAATTTAGGACATGTGTAGTGTGTAACAATGAACTGGCCAACTGGTTATGTTGCTGTAAATCTCATTCCCCACCTTACAAAACACACTTGATTGACCTCTTCTTTTATGAAAGCTCAGTCCAGGCTTTCCATTCCACCTCTTGGGAGGGAGGCAGATCACACTGACGGTTTGCGAACACACTTTTCCAGAAAGAAAAATACAGTGTTTTGTTGTTTTTGTTTCATTGAGCAGCCTTTTCAAGTTCTGCGACCCAATTTTGCTTCCCCTTAAACTGTGACCAGTATTTATTTATCCCTTTTTAAACACAGTAATTTAATTAAGAAACTAATCAGCAGTGTTGAAATGATCTTTGAACTACACCTCTAACGCTGAAGGAAATTTATGAATGTATTATACAAGAAAGATCCTATTATCTAAAAAGCTTTCTGCTGCAAGGACTTGGCATCTGAAAAGACTTGAAATTCTGCACTAGATTTATAATGTAAAGATCTGATCATTATTTATAGAGTCTGAAATGTATTCTGAGTCTGACAAGTTTGGATTGTTTACTAAAAATAAAACTTTCAGAGGTGAGTTGGACATTTAAGGGTTTGAAGGACAGATTGTAAAGGTACCTGTGTATCATAGGCTTTTAATGGGTTAGACTACCTTTTCAGTCAGTGGAGAGAGATTGGCATGTTCCAGTTATGTTCCATTTTCTGAGGCACTTCAGATGGGAACTTACTGGCTGATCATCTCAGCGTGGCATTAACAGGGCATCTGTAGTTAATCATTATCAACACCTGCCAGTTTCACTTCCCACAGTTTCAGATAAAGAGAATGTTTTTGAAAGCTACCTGGGATGTAGGCACCTTGGGCAGAAAGTGACCAGACCCAATAAAGAGAGTCCCACACCTGCAGTGTTGCTCAACCTTGGGAACTGAGCTGTTGCTGGTTGCATAACAGGACAAACTCAATGAGACTATGTCCTCTTCATCAGCCACTTGCTGATGTTTCTAAGTGCACATCAGCAGTAGAGGGCCTAGTTCATGAATCCCACATTGCTTCTCCGGTATGAAGGCTCCAAGACTTTGTCCCAGCATAGTTAAGACAGTTATATTTCTGGACATGGTCAGCAGATGAATTAATGATGCCTCAGCAAGTGCTCTGGAGGAAGACATAGTGGTTAGTCAAGGGACAGAAGATCACTTACTTCCTATCAGACCTTTCCATCCAAGTGGCACTGTGGGTCTCTAACTGCAGGCTTAGATTCAGTCATTTGTCCTCCAGGGACTGACAGATGGAAATAACCAATTGGTTCTATCCAAAATGCAGGTCTGGAATCAGGGTCTGATGGCTGGAATTAATGAGCGGCACATTTGAGGCCTGGTTTTCTCTGGCCTTGGATCTTGTGATTGAATTATCCTATGTCTAAGAAGGTATGAAGTCTATTCCAAGATTTGGCTGTGTCTGGGAAATTCTTCAAAGTGCTTTCCTTTGGGGATTTTCTGGTGAGTAATAAGTATGAGAAAAGAATTCTTCCTCGAGGTCTCTTTCGTTAAGAACACTACAGTTATTTTCTGTACTGCCTTCTTACTTTCACAATATTTGTGGAATTTCATCTTTTATCTCTTAGTCCTGTAGTAAGTTGATTTGAAATGTGCCAACAAGTTCAAAAGGCTTTGGTGTGGGGAGAGAAGAGAGATAGGTACTGATATGCTGATAGGCTTGTATACAGCACTTTCCTGTGAGAAGTAAAATAAAAAGGGCATAGTATCTGTCCCATGAAGCCTACTGTATCTCTAAAGGATGGGCAAAACACAAAAGTATGGACTTTTATGGTACATTAAGGACTCATGTCAGAAAGACTGGGGAATTATTTTGGCAACTTGATGAGACCCTCAGTTAAGTTTGCCACTACCTACACTGCTGGGGTCTATTGACACGAGCTTGCTCACAGTTAGGATGCAGGAATTAATAACTTCACACTTTCCATTGACTCATTTACTTAGTTTTGTGTTATGTACTCCACATGGGTGTTCTGTAGGGAAAAGGGAAATAAAGATGAGAATTAAGATGAAAAGAGAGGACTGCCATTTTTTCCATGAAGAGCAGATTGCAAGAGTGTGGCATTTTTCCCACACATCTTGAATAGTTTTGGGCTTGGGCTTTCTGAAGAGTTTTTAATTAATTTATTGTTTAAATAACTGTAATGAGAAGAGCCCCTGCCACACTGATTCTAATGAGGATTGCATGTGCTCTGTGTCTTTCTCATTGTGGCCTGTACCATTTAAATATCTTAACCAACATGTGCTGTGGCAGATTTCACTTATATCTGCTTAAATTAAAACTTGTCAGTTTAGGAGCTGAGAAGTAGGCAAATATTTGAGAGAGATTTGACATTCACTGCTGAAATCATTGCCCTAAATATCTAGCATCAATGACATTACTTAAGAAGGGTTAGAAATTCTTGCTGTGCTGTACAGGCTGGACATTCTGGACTTGAAGAAAAATGTACTTTACCTTCTGTATTCATAATTAAGATCTCCACCAAAATTTCAGCTTGTTTTTCTTCTGTATTTTATCTGAGCTATATGTGACTATTCAAGTTCCTCAAAGTTGCTGCTAGGAGAACAAACAGTACCAATATCTCAGAAGTAGCTGGAGTAATAGCACGATTCAGTTGTAAAAAGAATGGCATTTCCTTATGTTCTCATCCCCCAGAAATGTAAGGGAAGATGGCACTGAGCTGGAAAATTCTGATGGAACCTTGGATATTTGAACAGCTCCAGCCACAGAAGATGAAGCTTTATTTCCCATGTGCATGTATTTTTAATTCCTACAAGTCACTGTAGCAAAACACAGTAGTGTGCAGTATGTACGCCAGTGAAAAGGATGAAAACTTTTCTGTGCTGGAAATTACTTGCTTGTTGATACACTGAAGTACAACTTGGGTATTAACACAGTGTATTACACTTCTACGTTTAATTTCAATTGCAATGTAATCATAGTGGTACTTAACTGGCTATTACAAAAGGGACCAGAACCCAAATATTCCAATACAAAGTGAGAGTCCTTACTACCAATTGTGGAGTTGATTTCTTTTCTCATACAGGATCAACACATAGGCAGTAGGCAAACAATTTTAGTGCCCAGTGCCCGTAGGATTATAGGGTAATTCAGGTTGGAAAGGACCACAGGAGGTCTCTAGTCCAACATCCTCTAGTCCAACATCCTGCTCTAAGAAGCCATGGGATGAGATCAGGCTGCACAGGGCTTTATCCAGTTGGGCCTTGAAAACCTTCAGGGAGGCTGCACAACCTCCCTGGTTGTCCTGGGGGAAAACAATACATGTCCTTATAGCCAGCCTGAACTTCTCTTGTTGCAGTTTATGCCTTGTCTTCCCACCACACTCCACTGTGAAAAGCTTGGCTCTGTCTTCTTTGTGACCTCCTCACTGAGCAATGGGGTGCTCTGCTGACCGCCAGCTTATGGTGACCAAGATGCATACAGGAGGCCAAAACATCTCCTGATATCTTAGATGGTATAAAGGCAGGCAATGACATTAAATACAGTGTTTTCTCTTTCAAAGTCTGTGTATTGGCCTACTCCTTGAGTTGCATCACTTCTTTCAAAGCATTTTTTTGTTCAACTTCAGACTGGTGAATTTCCTACTGTTCAAAGTTTCTGAGAGTTTGGGAGGGAGCATTTTATTTGATCTATATTAGCTTATTTCAGTTAGACACAGGAAAAAAACACCGCTTCCTGCAGAGGTTTTCAGTGTCTCATTTCCCACAGTTTATCCCCCATTTCCTTTAGGCTCTGACTTCTAGCAATAATAATCTGTAGTTGTAACTTGGCTGTTTCAGGTTGCATGCCTTTAATATTTCTTATTTGTTGTCAAACTGTGTAAGCAGTGGTACAAGCCCTGAGTGTCTCTTGCTCTGCATAGTCTCATCAGAGCCATGGGGGAAAAGTCATGAACTGACCCAGCTACCTGATTACTCTTAGTCATGTTGGCTCCAATTATTGTCCCTTGCAACTAACATACAGCCCACTGTCATGTTCAGGTCACTAGCTTTGAAGAAGCAGTAACCTGCCTTTCCACCAGCTACGCTCAGTCTAGATGAAGGTCAGATCTGTCATGAAGAGCTATTTATAACTTGAGTGAAACTGCAAAGGAGGTGGTGGGCAGAAGACTTGGAGAAGGCGGAGTTGCCGGAGATGAGCCATCTTTTGTAGCACCTGAGCTTTCTTGTGTTCAAACTCAGGACAGGTCCCAGTGGAGGTGTTCTTCAATCCAGCAGAAACCATATGGAGGGGTGTGTTTCTTCACCCTGAAACACTGTGCAACTCTACCTCTGCTGTTGATTCACCTCTGTGATCATAGAATCATAGAATAGTTAGGGTTGGAAAGGACCTTAAGATCATCAAGTTCCAACCCCCTGCCATGGGCAGGGACACCTCACACTAAACCATGTCACTCAAGGCTTCGTCCAGCCTGGCCTTGAACACCGCCAGGGATGGAGCATTCACAACTCCCTTGGACAACCCATTCCAGTGCCTCACCACCCTCACAGTAAAGAACTTCCTCCTTATATCCAGTCTGAACTTCCCCTGTTTAAGTTTACCCTTTTAAGTTTGAACCCATGTCCCTTTCCTCCAGCTCACCCAGTTTCAGGCCTGCAATAATCCCAGTTGCCAGCCTCCTGTAGCACCAGACTGCTGAGTATTTCAGGTCAGCTGGTAAATCTTCACTTTTTGAATAAGAAAGCTAACATATAAAAGGATGAAATTACTGCTCCCTGTGCTTTGCAGAACTGCTTTTTACTGCTGTCTGGGCCCCTGTTAATTAGAAAGCTTAGGAGGGGTTCAGGAACTTCATACACTCAGGGTTCCTCTGCATTTTGTTATCATTGATTGTGTTCAATTAATTTGTTTCCTCTGAAGAGCTGGACATGCTTTCTCCAGCTTTGGTGATGCAAGTTAATACTTATGCATAATATGGCTTAAAGAAAAGATGAATTGGTGAGTAGTCTGGAAACCTGAGGCATATTGCCTTTTAGACTAATGATTCTGCATGTGGAACAGGGAAGAAAATATTGCCATAGGGCTTCTATGACCTGTTCATGGGTAAATAATTATACAGAAAGCATCAATATGGAATGGTCAGCTCAGAGGCCTGACGGTTATACAGCAGTCCACAGGGTTAATCTGAGAACGTTGTGAAGTCAGTCAAAAATCAAATACATCCCTGAACAAAAATGCCCTGGTTAAGCTTTTATTTTGGAGAATAGAGAGAAAACAAAGCATCTTTGATTGCTGTACATGGAGAAAAGCATGCTCCAGGCTTGTGATATTTTTAAGACACAAAACCTCGTACATCAGATGGACCAAGCCCAATGCTCTATATATGCACATGAACAATACTCTTTTGAATGTTTAAGCTCTATGAGAGCACATGAAAGACTTTAAAATGGACTCATCTAAGTCTCTGTGGCATGCTGTGTAAGCCAGCAAAGAGTCACGCATGGCACCTGGGAAGGCAGAGGTCTTCCAGTAATCTTTATTATCTTGGATGTCTCACTTTCTCAGCTCCTGTTTCTCAATTGGAAAATGAGGATAATGTCAAGGTTCGATGGACAGTGTCTGCTTCATTTGTTCTCCGTTTATGTTAGATTTCTTTTTAAAATGACATATTTAGCTCAATCACAGCTCTTGAGAGAGGAAGATTGGTCCTCCTACCCTTTTTATACATGTCAAGGAGGAAGTGATTTCCCAGAAGAGACAGGTATGGCATACAGGGAGGAGCACCCACTCAGTAAGAGAGGTTTCCAGTCCAATGGGGAGGTTAGGAGGTAGCAGAGGTAAGCAAGAAGCAGACTCACAATCAAGTGTCTCTGGGATGGGAAGAAGCTTCAGAGGGACCAGAACGGACTGTGCATGGCTCGCTGTGGTTCAAATATTGACTGAATTGAATGAAACCAGAGTGGAAGGTATCTTTGTAAGAATGCAGTGTGCAGGGAGAAATTTATTTATGTTAACCATTTTATGGCGATTGCTTGATCTTGTCAGTCCAGTTTACACAGCTTTGAGAAGTTAAGGATTCTAAATTATATTCTAGTAAAATCGGTTTATGTTCAAAAGCCTTTCTTATCTCTTTTGCCTGCCAAATTTGGATCTCATAACACAAAGATGTTCTTTCTTTGGGGTTCTTGGAGTGAAAAGTATCATAGAACAGTGAAATTGTAGTCATTGAACTGATGAACACTCACTCAGGTCTAGAAGCCCATTTCCTGCACTCATGTCCAGCTTCTCCCTTGACTGATGAGAGCCTTGCTGAATTTTGCAGATATAGGAAGTTGGTCCTTGAGGGTATGGTGTTCTCCTTTGCTGACACTGAATACAAGCTAAAGCAACAAAGATTCTGCTTGTCTTG